TAAAGCTTTTTCAATGGATGCACCGCCATTTTGAAGCCAGTGTTACTCCTGAGTTGACCCTATAGTCAGTGAATTTTCTGTGGACAGATATAGTTTCCAAATGCATAGGCTTTAGCTTTAAAATAAAATTAATTGCTCTAAAATTGATGAGCCAGTTTTGTCAATATGGAGTTGAATATTAAATAAAAGTGATGTCAGTGTTTAAGTCAGTTTTAGAAGGAGTTTGGGCATGTAATTCTACTCTTCTTGAGAACACATTTTATGAAATGTAAATATGGGTGAAATATTTCCAATAAAAATTTAGCTTCCAAATTAACATGTGCTAAAAGTGTAAAATATCCACCAGATTTTAAGGATTTTGTATAGTAAAGCAAGTAAGATCTCATTCATAATTATCTATATTAGTTACTGCTGAAATGTTAACATTTAGATATATTGGGTTACATAAAATACATTATGAAAATTATCATATCGTTTTGCTTTTTAATTTGGCTACTAGAAAATTTAAAATTCTGCATGTGGCTCACACCATGCCTTTATTAGCACCATGTTAGGCAATGAGGGTATAAAGATGAATGGGAGCTCAATCATTCCCTCCAGCAGAAAACTAAACCCTGGAACAGCACGTTGTAAAATGATGTGGAAGTCAAGAGATAGACTCCAGAAAATGTGGAAGTAATGTCAGAGAGAGCATCTGAATCAGACTGGGGATAATAAGGACAAGTTCTTGGAGATGGTGGTGATTGGTTTTGGCCTTAAAAGGGAAGCAGGGGTTAAATAAATGAGAATATAAATAAAAATGACTCTCTAATGGAGTGGTCACTATTACTGAGTCTGTCGGGTGAAATAGTATACTGTACCATGTGGAATAAAAATCAGTTCTGGTGTGGTAGGGTATAAAGTTTGGGAACTTAGTTGGACCAGGAAGGACCCAGATCCTGTTGAGATTGGCTGTTATTCTCTGGTGGTGGTATAGAAGGACACCTAGGGGACCCACAGACACTGGTGCTTTGAGGTGTCCCTTTCCCAGTCTAATTCATTAGGGGAGGGGCGGCCTGCTCATTTTCAGTGGTTGGTTGAACAGAGTCAGTGGTAGGGACTTTTTTGAGAGATGAGTTCTTAAATTCCTTGACAGTGGGTTTCATACAACTGCATTCAGGCCTTCCTCATATACGATGCTTGAAATTCACACTATAGATGAATTCCACAGGGTCTGCAGTCTTCAATTTCAGAACTTATTTCTCTAGTCGCAATCTGATACATGTTATATATTTATGTGATTAAGGGTTCAGACCTTCCCAGTGAAATGTAAGCAACATGAAATAAAGACTCTTGTCTTTCTCCTAACTGCACTCCTACTACCCATGATAGAATCTTTCATGTAGCAGGTGCTCAGTTAAGACTTTGGGGGTGGGGAGTAATCACACTAGATAAGATGGCGACACCTGCTGGCATCATATAGTATTGTAGTCTGGCTCTGCTGCATTGTGTAACTACCTGGATATGACACCTGAGGACAGCAAATTCCAACTGTACGCAATCTTTGTCTCTGAATGATGCCGATTTAACTGGCTTAAAAATTATAGCAAGTAGAAAGTCAAAGGAGATAGGTAAACACATATCTAAGAAAAATATGAGTCAACCTAGTATAATAGAAGAATAAGAAACCTTAGATCCAGGTCAACGTGGGTTTTAATTCTCAGCTCATATATTTACTTGCTGTGCTTAATTCCTTCATTCATAAAAGGAAGTAATCAGTATTAGCTTCTGCATAAGGCTATCAGGGCAGAGAAATGGAGAGCAAGTGGTTTTGAACTTATTTTTGCCATCTATTTCTCCTTCATTTTGGTGTAGGAAGATCCCTGGAGTCATTCTCATGCATGCTGATTTTAGAGAAGGTGGTTCTTTGCTCATCGCATTATGGGCCATTTCCTGGCCTTGAGCTTTGAGCAAATAAGTAAATGCATAGATTGCTCAGGCGGCGGAGATCAGAAGCCTCCCTCAAGAGGTTTTCCAGGCACAAGGAAATCAATCTCAGTTGTCAAGCAGCTTCAAAGCTGATTACCTTGAAATGAATGACCACATCTTCTTTCCAGGTCTCCATCTTCCGCTCATTCAGAGGATCAGCCGCCATACATTAGATCCCTAATTAAGAAATATGATTATTAGCAAATGACTCCTTTGAGCAGAATAGGAAACCGCTGTGCAAGCCTTGGAGCAGATCCACTGGCAGCCACACAGAGGAAGCACATGTGGGCAGGGCTGACGCTGCCTTAATAGCTAGTGGTATCCGGATTGCGTTTCACCACTCTGCGGGGAGAAATGAAGCCTGACGCTGGGATCAGTGCGGCAGTGGAGAAAGGGAAACTTGGAGTCTGAGCTGTTTGCTGTTCAACTAGAACTAGTGAAAGGAAATGGATGCTTCCTGGGCAGATTGAAAACACAGGCCCTTCCAGTAATAATAACAAGGCACTCGCAGGGTGAAACTAGCTCCTCACCTAAAAATAATGATGTCTATGGAGTGAAGCCCATCTCGATTCAAATTCTCTGTTTCTTCTTACCCATGTAGCCTAAAGTGTGTTGATCAGCCTCCCTGGATCTGGGTTTCATCATTTGTAAAACAGGATTATTAAGTATATAAAATAAATAATCACTGGGGGTTTCCAGCACAGAGAAAGCTTACAAGCCACGGCAGTTTCTTTCTCCTTCCCTTTCTCTGTGCAGTGCTCAGTGTCTTTACAGTTCCTGATCCAGGGTCTGGAGAGTTGGTAGCTACAAAGCTTCTGATATTACTCATGTAGCCAGACATGCAAAATATTGCCAGACGTGGCTTTTATTAGTGAGCGCATGCAAGGTTTCAGGCAGATTCTTAAAGGGCTCTTTAAAATCCCTGGGATGTATTGTCCTCTTATGATCTGGTCCCAGCCTTCCCTGCACCCCCATTGCCTACCCTCTTCTCCCCACTCACTGTATTCTAGTCACCTCAGTCCTCTCTGCTCATCAAACATGTCAAGAATCTCCTCTGCCCTCCCCCCATCTTCACAAAGCTCTCCTCTGGCTTGGAGAGAGACACTTCTCACTGTGCCTTCACATGCCAGACACAGGTTGACCTCTCTCTTCCTTTTCTTGTGAAGTCACTGACCCCATCATAAGTGCCCTACCCTTATGGCCTGATCCAACCCAAATGATCTCCCCAAAGCCCCACCTCCTCATACCACATCTTGGGGGTTAGGACTTTAATGTATGAATTCTAGGGATGGTGAACAAAAGTCAGTATGTAGCAAAATCTCTGTTTTATTGCACTCAGAGTATTTATGCTAATTGGTTTCCTGGATTCATTCCCTTATTTATGGGCCATGGAAGACTGGACCCTCAATGAGTGTAGAAATTTAGTCTTATTCACCACTGATTCACAATTAGAATAATAATTGGTATATAGGAGGTATACCAATTACTGCAATGATGGATGGATGGATGGATGGATGGATAGGTGGGTGGGTGGATGGATGGATGGATGGATGACTTATAAATGAATCTCTGTGGGCTGTAGAAGAAAGGTTGATTTTCTCAGTTTATAGTTGGGAAAACTGAAACCTGGAAAAATTCAGTGCCTTGAAAAATGTTTCTGAACAGGTTTAGGAGCAATCTGCAGAGCTGAACATCTAAGTTCAAATTCCAGCCTTGCCATTTAAAAACCATTAATTTTGGTCAACTTACTTAGCCTCTTTTTTATTTTTTCCCTCATCTGTGAAATGCTAATCGTAAGTGTAACATCCATATACATGTGATATGTAATTGACAGTCATTAGAGCTATTCATCAATATTCTGGTTCTTCTTCCATGCCCCTCCTGAAGTCAGGTATGGCTATGAAATGTGAGCTCAAGGGGTGGGGTCATTTCCATGTGGAAGCTTTTAAGAGTCAAAGTGCAATCTTTTTCTCTTTCCTGACATACAATCTGAAATATTGCAAATGGTGTTCATTCTATTGCCCTGGATACTGGGGTAAAGAAAACATGCATCAGAATTCCTATGGACCAATCAAAAATATAGAAAATGAGTGAGAAACAAGCCTGGATAGGTGTCATAGCCAGAGTGCAGTAGAGTTAGATTATGGTACTACATGTGACCAGAAGGTGCTATCATCTTATCTAATGTGATCACTTTTTTTTTTTTGAAATTTAGTAGGTTTTTTTTGTTGTTGTTGTTATCACAGCATAACTTAGCTGAGCCTGACTAATTCACTGAGTTGAATTCTCTCATGAGAATTCAATGGGTTTATGAAAATAACATGTTTAGAAAGTATCTGGTGTTATTAAATTGATTAAGTGTTTATTTTAGTAGATTGATTAGTAAGGATTCAAGAGATGTGAGTACACAAATGTAGTGATAGAGGACATTGACTCTGGAGTCCGATTTCCTTGTTTCAAATCCCAGTAATTTTCATACTAACAGTTATGGCTATAGTCATGTGAATTCATTTTTTCATGCCTCAGTTCATTCATCTAAAAATGGGGACAATAGAATACAATGTAATGGGACATCACATTAAACAACATAACAATGTAATGAAATGTGATAAAATGAAACAATGTAACAAAGAACCTAGCCTGAGTCTTGACACATGGAGTAAATGCTCAATAAATATTAGCTCCTATTGTCTGAGTATCCTGGCATATTTTTTCAGAGAAAATGTATTATAGCTATGCCTACCACTGACATAATATCACTGAATAATGTGAAAAGAGCCTCATATGAATATGGCTAAATGATGACAACTTGGCAGAGAGGAGTAGACTAATTTGTCTGTATAGCTGCAATAATCCAGATAATTTAGTCCATGCCCAACAGCTCTCAGCATGTGATTAACATTTCTTCTATTCAAGTGGATGGAGGTAAAGCAATCAAAACTAGGGGGAAAGAAATAACCCTGAGAAAACACCATTATCGGCTATTTTCTGGGACAATAATAATAGCCTTTATTATTTCTTCTTTATTCTAGTCTTCTACTGAAAATTGCAAATAGCACATGCAATTCTGATTTCTTTGAAAAGAAATCTAGTTTTGAAAGGAAAGGGAAACCCAACAATGGTGAGTAAATTTATTCATCTTCGTGGGACATGAACTATGGATTATTATATTCAGTGCATGAGTGGAATACCAAGTGAAGAATGTTTGATATTCAAACTCAGTGACTCAATGAACTCAAATGGATTAGCAAAATTATTTTAATAATCAGATTATGGGTGAGGACAGGAAATCAAAAAAACACAAAATGCTTTAATCTCTGGGTCAAGATAAACAGGTAAAATATAAACAATGTACATTTAGGATCTGCATGCTAACTGTACTAACCGGGGAAAGGAATATTTATTTCTTACCTTTCTATCCCTCAAGAGAAAAAGATAAAAATGTTGGAAATTCATCTTGTTTTATGTGAGGATTTTATGATTTAATATTGAAGAAAGATTTTTAACGTAACTATGCTTTGGGTTTGTAAATTCTCTTTAAACCACCACCTTATTACCTACTGAAAAGGGTCCTTCCATATCCAGGCTGCTCCCTATGTTACCAACACTGGGGAACATAAAATACCAAAGAGCAGCAAAGTAAAATATCCATAATTTTTTATCAGTCTTTTTTAGACCTTAATAAATCAAAATGAAGGCCCAGAAGTCTAGACAAAGTAGGTTTAAATCTGAATTCTCAAATTACTATGTAACCCTGGGGAGTTCCTTTGTGCCTTGTGTCTATGAATTTCATCACTTTATAATGAACATAATAGTATGTAGATCATGACTTCTGCAGGGAATTAGTAAATTAATATATCTGGTACATAATAAGTATGCAACAAATTTTAATGATTATTATATAACTTGTGTGTATTTTTCAAAAATCTTAACAAAACAGATGGAAGGGAAGAATAATACTAATAACAATAACACATAATACTTTCAACATTGCAGGTTTGATTTTAAGAATTTTTTATATTACCTCCTGCCTGGATCCTTGAAGCAATTCTCTGAGAGATTCCTGGGTAGAAGTGAAATGACTTCCAGAGTCACACAGGTAGTGAGTGGTACAACCAGACTAGGAACTCTGGTGATCTGACTCCACAGACTGCCTCTTGAGTATTAAACCTATGTTCCCTTCTTTGAGAATGATGTCTGAATTCCTCTCCACTCAAAATAGAATACACTCTGGGCCAAGTCACATTCCAGTTCTTGAGACACAATGATAAAGAAGAAAAGCAGGGTCTCTCTCTCATAAAGTTTATGATTTCCATAGGAAAACCATTTTCTATGTTCATTTTACTCTGATCCACATCGTTCAACAATATTTTTTAGGTCTCGGGATCTTTGCTATATATTTTTTTACCTCTTCCCCAGCTGGAAGTAGCTACATTTAACCCCTATGATTCAGCACCATGGACAGCCGACAAATTCTAAGGACCCTAAACCATATTTGAAGTTTTCCTTTCAGAATTCATGAAGATCTGGTGCTTCGGAACACACTCACACATACACACACCAACTCAGTGTGCAAAAAAAAAAAAAAAAATCCTAAGAAGAAACCTAGAAACTACCAAATACGAGTCCAAAATATCCACAAAGCCCACAAAGCCACATAGATGAAGTCAACAGCTAAATTCCTACAATTTGGTCTATTTATAATGAATCCCATTTCAAGTATGTGGTCACCATGCATTGCATAGACCTCCAGGGACACAAATGTAGTCTATTCTGGCAATTCCTTAGATTGGAAGGAAGGAATATCTTAAGTAGTTTGATTTAAGTTCCAGAGAAATCCCTGACTAGATATATTTCCTAGTGTTTTTTATTTATTATTTCTCACTTCCTGCCTGCCTTCTATAGGTTAAAGGTAAGCTCCAAGGTTAGTTAGGGGAGACACAGGTCTAACTCACCAGTTCTCTGCCTTAGACACTGAATTTCTTTGACCTCATTGAATACATTAGAATTCTTTCCGGCCTATCAGTGTTTATTAGATTTGATACTGCCTCATTCTGATATCCAGAAGAAGGTGACTCATGCTCAGGAACGTGTTACCATCCTCTAAGGACATGTCTAATCTGGATGATTTCATCTTGTCTGGGAGATGTTTGCTAGGTGGAGAGTCCCCAGGGCTTGAGGAAGGAAAACTTTCCACTTGCCAGGCTCCTCAAGTCCTCCCCAACTGAAGCAGCTAGGAGGGGTATCTTTGAAAGTGAAAGAATGTGACATTGTGAGGGGCTACAGACTTACAGGCTTGACCACCAATGTCCATATCTATTATATGATACAAAGTTTTTCAAGGAAGTCTCTATCGATGTAAATAAGGCTCACCATAAGTCTCTCTCCTCTAATCCTTCCAACAATTACTCAGTGTCTACCACTGACTAGCTGTGTGATCATGGGAAGTCGGTAGTTCCTGAGCCTCAGCCACCTTATCTGTATGATGAGGATGCTCACTGAGACATTGCAGAGGGTAATGACAGTTTGTCTCCCCACAGTGTGGAATAGAGGCAGGCAGGAAATGAGGCAAAGGGGGCTGAGTCACCTACGGGAGCTGAGATTTATGTTTTATAAGGAAGAATTAGTGAAATCTCCCTACAGATAGACAGAAGGGCTTTTCTTGTTTCTGAAAAAGAAATACTTCAACTATTTTAATGTTAGAAGACCATAGTATTTGGAATAGAATGTCTGATCTCAGTCCTATCTCTATCACGACTGACCTACCATGTCTCCCTCCCTTCCCAAGGTTTAAATTTTTAGGTTGCAGTGAGATGGACAATGGTGATCACTCTGTCTGGGTGAGGAATCGAATTAGCTACTTGGATTAGAAGTAGGTGCTTCATGGTGGTTCCGACTGCAGGGGCTAATGATGCCCTGGTCTAAATCCTGGTTCCACCATTCACCATCTGAGAGACAGGCAAGTCCCTTCAGTGCTCTGAGCCCTAAATTCCACATAAGTGAAACTAGAAGACTACAAATAACTATTTTGTGAGTATATTATGATAATTAAAAGTATTAATTGGAGTAAAGCACTGTGAACAGTATCTGAGAGCTCAATAAATGTCAGATAGATCAATCACATGCTGAACCACACACAAATTAGTCCAGGCTCTTGGGACACGTGGACCCTTTTCTTAATTCTCAGGTACAAGCCCCAGAGAGAATGCTTTCTCCTTTGTGGGCCTGTTTATCATGGAATCAGGTCTCTTTCTCTCTCTCTTTTTTTTAAAACTCATGGCCATTTCTTGCTTGGGTGATGACTCATACTTTGGTCATAATTGTAGGAGAGAGAATTCACATCAAAAGTATTTTGCTCTATGCTACACCAATGTATGGAGGTAGAATTTCATGGAGGAGAAAAATGTGGGTGGAGTCCAGGTGAAGGAGGAGGAGCCCTGAGGCCCAGGTGGTTTCTCCCCACTCACACAGCTAAACCAGATGTCCCCTGATGCAGCGAGTCACACGGCTTGCTCGCTTGCCAGTTGACATCAGTCCAGGGCCTGGAAACACAATGTGAGTCACCAGAATGAGGAGATAATGGGTCTGGAAAAGCTTAAAAATGGAAGGGGAGAGAGACCCAGGAAGGAAGCTTCTAATCAGGAGAGGCAGCCATTCTAGACAGCTTGTGCCACCGTGAGAGGGTTACAGGAACACTATTAAAATCTCTGCCTGCAGGACTGTGATCTGTAGTGCCGATGGTAATTCTCATAAAGGAGAATGGATTTACTAGCATGTTTATGGTCTTGGCTTCCATATCTTTTACCCATCCCCATTCCAGGAATTTTTTTTTTTACATTTTTCAGCAATTAGTGAAACTTTGTCTTTCAGTTCTTCAGGTTTTAGGATAGAAATCCAAAATACTGCCAAGAATGTGACAAGAAGAAATTAATCTAAAAATTGCAAGCGTGGTGTTGGGGATTTAGCTCAGTAGCAGAGCGCTTGCCTAGCAAGTGCAAGGCCCTGAGTTTGGTCCTCAACCCTGAAAAAAATTTTTTCAAGGGTTTTAAGTTAATAATGGTGTGGAGGATTTCATGAGGAGTAGGCTACAGACCATTCATGAGGTGAGAGAATGGCGGGGAAGCTGAACAGGAATTCTAGAAAGCTCTTGGAGGTTATAAAGTGAATCCCTGTTGCTGGTCTTCAGGAAAGCCAGGCATTGTTTGAAATTCCCTTAAAATTCTTTTTGATTGCTAGATGGGATTTTAAAAAAATATGACTATGAAATATACAGAGACTGGCCCCAAGTCCAGCACTCAGGTCATGCACTTGCACATTGACCATTAGAACCCCAGCCCCATGCAATGCAGGATTGAGACTTGTAAGCTCCTCTATTAAAGGTAAACCCCTGGACTCTACTTAAAGGTTGCTACAGATAGCAAATAAGATAAGCTTATTCAAATTTTGAGTACCAAGCTTAAAGAGATTAAAACAAAACCTTTAATCTCTTCCTACACAGAAATTGGAGTCCTTTAATCACACCCCTTGTCCCCTGTGGGGAGACAGGTCAGTCAATAGATGACCTGTTTAAATTGGATGAGAGTTGACAGGATGTTCCCATCATCAGGGAAATTACAAAATGTAATGATAGGAAATGTATATCCCTTGAGACAGCTGCCGGAAAAAAAAAAAATGGTTTTCTCCTTTGCCCAGAAATATCTGTGCCAAGCATTCTCTGGGAGTGCAGATGCAACGGAGGCCAGCCCCAGGGCTTCTGAGGCCAGTACTGGACAGCCACTCTGTGAACACACATCACTGCTGTGTGCTAGACCAAAGAATTGATGAGAGTGTCTTGACATATAGACGGCAGCCTGGCATACAATCCAAGCCTGAGCTTGGATTTGGAGTAGAGACAGTCAGGAGATCAGGTCAAGCTTAGAAGTGATCTACCAGCCACCCACTCACCCACAATAGCCCAGCCCCCATAGAGCCAAACTTCATATCAGCACCTCCACGGAATGTTTTCAAAATACACATTCTTACTTTTCACTTTCCAAGACCTTATTTCAAAAGATCTCAAGTGTGACCCGAGTGTGACGTTTTTTCATAAGCTTTTCCTGAGAAGTATGAGTGTATGAGTGTACCTTTTTCCCCCATATCTTCACCAACATTTATTGTTGCTTGGATTCTTGGTAATTACCATTCTGTCCACTAGCCGAACTTCAGAGTGATACCTCAAGTATCACTGACAACCACCAGTTCTGTCCATCACAACTACCTATTCTCTCTATCGCCAGCCAACTGAGAAATTCATTCCACTTGCCACAGAGTAGTCAATCAAGGATTTTTTTTTTTCGTTTCCACAGAAAAATCTGTCTGGGACAAAAATGAAGAAAAATCTCCAGGTCTCTTTTTAAATATTCTACAGTCTTCTTTATTTTAGTTTTCGGTGCACTCAACATCTTTATTTTATTTTTATGTGGTGCTGAGAGTCTTCTTTATTTTAATTTGCATATAAAAAACAAAGAAGAGCTTTATTGTATATACAGCCTACATTAAAACAGCAATGTGTTTTCTCTCATAGGGGTCTTCAAGCAGATCTTGAGAGGCACTCTTGTAGCCCCAGAAATATGGTGTCATGCCCTGAGCAGGTGACAGGGGTTGAACGGGTAATGGGGAGAGGCAGAAACCAGAAGCAAGCAACCCCATCAGCGTAAAGAAATGGTCCCCTTCCAAGTTTGGGCTATAAAGATTCTTCAAGGTCAATCTAGAAAACCAAAGCAAGACCAGAAAAGACAGAGTGATAACTCAAAGACAGTGAGTCCAGTGATTTAAAAGCCCTGAGTGATAAGAGCCAGGAACAACCAGCATAGAAAGATTGGGGCTTTGACCTTCATTGGCCAATCAAAGAGATGTCATCTCTGATCAGCAGCTCAGTGAACCCTAAATGCAGGCCCCTGGACATCAGAAGGAACTAAGGAACTAGCTCAAAGAACAGATTCCCAGGCCCTGCCCCTTCTCCAGTCCTTGCCATCTTCTGTCTTATTTATGCTGGTCAATCAGTCAGTACATAAACATGTTATAAAGGCCCCCCTAAATTCCTGCTGGTTTATTAACTGCATGAAAACAGGGACTGCATCTGCCTTGCATGGCCTCAGTGTCTAGTATAAGACCTAGAAACAGTATCTATGCCTTGACCTTTGAGGTGGGCACTCTGAAGACAAGGATTAAGAAATGTGCTCCCTGCAATTCAAGGTTCAGCGTCTAGCAGGTAGACAGACAAGACGTCCAAAACCACAACATCATAGCAAATGCTCTGATATTTACAAACACGTTTTACATACCAAATTCCCCCACCCAGAAGCAGACCCACTGTCCCAAAACACCAATCTAACCATTTTACTTCTAAAAGACAGTCAATTAATAGTCCTCCATACCCTGTGGCTCCTCTTTCCAAAGATGGGTCAGTAGGATCTACATAGATAGATGTCTGGGAAAGAACCTTTCATGGTAAAATGACTTTAGAATTCTCTAGGATAAACTACATGAAATAAATCAAGTTTATTTAATGCAAAATTTGTCCGAGACTCTATCATACCAATGTATGTTGCCAATCTCTATAAGGCAAAGGGTGGCACTCGACACTTTTCTTGTTTTTATTTGTGGACTCTTGTTCTTGTATGGCATGTCTTCAAAGATAGTGTTTAGATGGCCAAATAAAGAAGGTTCCTGAATATTTCACATCCACCCAACCAGGATTCCATTCAATCATCCAAATGAGAGGTTCCTAGTTTCTTGAGTTCCCTCCATCTCTGATACCACAGAGCCCTCTTTCAATATCAGAGATCAGGTACTCTAAGCGTAGTATGGCCATAGGATAAACACAGAGTGCCTTCTTTATATCTCATAGGACAACCAGGTAAAGCTTCTTCTTTGAGTGTCTTGATTGGTTTATTAACCTCCTGATGCAGGTGTTGCTTTGGTTGCCTGGCAACATGATGATGGAGACTGCTGATTCCCAGAGGAGCCATAAATGAATGTAGATATTTCCCCTGGGAGCAGGGACCCCAGTCAGAGAGGCACACTGCAGAAACCTTCACTTCTCCTGCCCTGAATGTGCTTTTCCCATCCTGCTGAAAGAGTAGCCTAAGAGGATAATTGAAGAAAAGGGAAAAAATGTTTCTACTTTGAAAGCAGCAAAAATTCTTATGCACCATGTTGGAGAATTATGAACAATCTCACCTGCCCATAATGAGGTGTTCCTGTCACAAAAATCACAGCACAGGTGTGTTTTGGTATTGCTGATACAAGATCTCCTTCAAATTAACAAAACAAAACAAAATGCTGTTTCTTCTGTTCCATCTGACATTAAATACATATTCCAGTTCTAGATTATAATACATGTCATATAATTTGGCCCAAATGAGCCTCATGATCACACACACACACACACACACACACACACACACACACAAATCAAGCAGAACTGAAGCAGAGAAGGAAAACTTTAGAATCTTCGAGAGCAGTGCTTTTGAAATCATTGAGATCAAATTCAGTTCCTGGCTCTGCCACTTACAGAGTGACACTAAGTTTCTTAGCTTCTATGAGCCTCGATTTCTCCATCTATGAAATGGGACCATCAACACTCATCTCAAAGTGTCACTGAGAAAATGAAGATAACGAAAGCCAAACACTTTGCATAGAGGCTACTATGTAAGCTGTTGTTGTTGTTATGATTATTGTGATTATTGCTTAGGGTAACACGTAGCACCCCAGTGGTTAGGATAGGAACTTCGATCTCTAGTAATGCCCAGGCAGACTTTTGCCCTTGATTCATCCCTCCTTTGAAAGTAAAAGCAGTAAGAATGGGGGAAGCTGTATCTAAAGTTATATT